GTTAATCCTTAACAATGCTTTTCCCACATCAGTTTCAGGGTCTATCCTGGAATATTGTTTCATATTTCTCCTAAGTCTGTCTAAACATTCAGGTGGAGTTTCCCCTTTCCCCTGCTGTGCCTCAAAAGCCTTTTTAGCATTTTGCCCTCTGGGTGCTGCCTCTCTGTCATGGTTTGACACTGGCACAATGCCAGTGCCCCCATGAAGATACCCTCTCCCTGGTAGCTGCTGTGAGATGTGACCAGGAATAAGCAAAGCAGGCTCCTACTTAGGGAAGAAAGAAAACAAAACTTTATTAACTACACTACAACTACAGATATAAAGGAACACACACACAGGGAAAATGAAAACCTTACAAATACATTTCCTCCTCCCCCCACCAAATTCCCAACACAATACATCTATTCCTCAAATCACCAACTCTTAGTCCAGCACCACTCTTCAGACAATCAATCCTCAGTTCATCAAGAGGAGAGGAGTCCTTCTTGTACCATGGGCTTCCCCTGGAAACACAGCTGAAGCCTCGTGTGTTTCCGTGTCACTCGTGGCACCGCCCAGAGTACATCTGCCATCGTGACCTCTTCCTTTCATGTCCAGTGCTCTCACCACTGAACACGGACCAGAGCTGCTTCTAGGGTTGTCTTTTTTAAGGATGCTCTGTCCCGATCCAAAAAAGGCACAGTCTCTCCTTTGGGACACCTGTCCCCCCCATATTTTTTCACCCCCTGGGGCCGAGGGGCACCAACACTGAACCCTCTTGGCCCTGAGGCTTTGCCTCCCCCTGGATGCAGTCTCTGTGTCACAAGGAACATGGTTCTGTCCATGGCTATACAAAAAGAGTCCAGCAAAAGCCACTCCATCATCTCTTCCCACTAGGATTCTTCTCTACTCTTCCACTACTTCTCACTCGCCCAGACCTCTCTCACACTTGCACATTCCTTCCTCATCTTCCACTCTATCTTCTAGGAGAGGTCAATGATCTGTAAAGTTCTCATTCTCCGAAAAGGGGTTAAAAGCTCCTACAAGTGGCCGGCTGAACCCCCCCCCCCTTCTTCTCCGTCCCAGCCATGCTGCTGGCACAGGCCCATGTTTATCAAGTTTCAAGGTTACAGTCTCAGGCAGCGGCTCTTTCTCTCTCTCTCTGTGTCTCTCAGGGGGGGCTGACCGATGGCTCCTGGTGTCTCTCTCTCTCTCTCTTCCACCCTTCCACCCCCAGGGTCAGGCCTATCTCTCCCGGCCACATGGCTTTTTCCCCTCCCCCTGCCCAGCCAGCAGCTGGGCCGGGGGAGAGACCCGAACTCTTTCCCGCCGGAAGCCCAAAAGGACCCTCCCAGGGGAGAGCTCTGCTTTTAACCCCGTGTTCTCAGAGGCGTGTCCATGTCCTAAATGGCCAGGTTAAATGCCAATATTAAAGCCTGAATATCCATTGGCCCAAAACACAGCATCCCAAAAAACACATTTCCTGTCAAACCACCACACTCTCTTATTCCCTTGATTATTAAATTACAGTAGTCAGTCATTTGTTTCCTCCTCTCCTCATTATTTTGACCCCACTCAGGAGGTGCAGTTGGAATTTTGTCTTCTCCGGGGGGCCCCTGTGGATTATCTTTTTCCCAAGCTTTTATTCCAGCTGCTCTGATTAATTGCCTTTCTTCCTGAGTAAATATTATTATGGACTGCATCTCTTCCCAAGTATAAATGTTTGGACCTAAAAATTGGTCTAATTGTTCAGCTGTGCCTATGGGAACCTCCAAAATCCCTTTGATTTCTTTTTTTTTTTAAATTTCTGATCTCAGAAGAAGTCAAAGGGGCATTTACAAACCCTGTTCCACCACCTGCCATGGGAACCTCTCTTAGCGGAAATAAACTAATCCCTTCATCTAACTCTTTTTCTTTTTTATCTTTTATAGCCTTTCTCCCGTGGTTTGAGAAAGAATTTGGAGAGGGCTGTCTTTTAACTGAGCTCCTAGTGTTTCGATAAAGTGCTTCCTCCAGAGAGAGAGTTTCCCTGAACAGCCGGAGCTGTGGTTACCAAGGGAACAGAGCTCAGGGCAAGACGGGGGGGAGGGGGTGAGGGAAGGATATCCGGCCGACGCTCGGTCCTCCAAGGGCGGGACGTAGGCGTTGTCTGCTGTCGGAATCGCCAGAGGAGGGAGCATTTCCGGGGGATACCAGACGGGAGCGCGGGTAGCTTGCACGTGGTTAAGGGCGGCTGAGTCAGCGGCTCCCGGCAGAGGCAAATCAGCAGCGGTGGCACCCAGCGCAGCCGGCACGGGCAGGGCAGCCGGGGATTGGGCACTGGGGGAAGCGGTCGGGGATGGGACGGCTGGGACCGATGGGACCCCTGGTGCGGTTGGGGCAGTGGTCATAGTCCATGCAGCAGAAGGCGCCGGGACCGGGGCAGACAAATTCACTGGCGGGGCCAGGGCTGGAGTGTGGGCGGGGACCGGCGGAGCTGCTGTGGGCAGCGAGCCTGCACTTGGGACGGGAACCAGGGCAGGTGGAGCTGAAGCAGGCAGCGAGCCGGGACCCGGGACCCGAGACAGGCGCCTCGGCCGCGAACGGAGGGGGCAAGACCTGCAAAGGATCCCACTCTTTTTCTGTTTTTTCCTCTTGTCCCCCTCCATTTTCTTTCACCCCTTTTTCCTTTTATTGCTTTGTCTCGGGGGTTTTTGATATTTTTAAAGATGTTATTTTCTTACGATCTCCCCCTTAGCATTTCTGGGGTCTTTCCCTTTTGGTGTCCCCTAATATGTACTATAGCTATCTCTTTTAGGTAACTTTAATGTCTCTAAAACCTCTAAAATAAGTTCCTCATGTACTAATCCTTTTCCTCTTGAATTAAGTAATCTTCCTTTCCAAATTTTTTAAAGGTATTTCACTCACACTCTAGCCACAGCCCCCTCCACACACCCGGGGGAACAATGGCTTGTTTGCAGGTCACATACACCTCTTTCCACAGCCCCCTCCTTCCCACCCGCCCGGGAAGTTGAGGCTGATTTTGTGTTTGAATCACTCACACACAACAAGACAACAACAAGGTACCTTTTACTTTCAAATCACCTATTACAATTTTAGGTGTTACTGGCCAGTCCTGGTCCTCTTGGATATCCCTCAATCCAGCTGTGTGGTCCAGCCCTGGATGCTCTTGGGCATATCCTCAATCCGGCAGAATTTTGCTCAACCCTGGATGCTCTTGGAATGTTAATCCCTCAATCCAACAGGTTTTAATTCTGGATGCTCTTGATCACTCTTATCCCTCAATCCAGTAGAATTTTTAGGGGCCCCTTCCTTTTGTCCCGTTTCCTAGTGGATTGGGCTAGGAAACCCGTCTGCTCCCTTCCTCCGAGGGATTCCCTCCCTAAGACCCAGTCCCAGTTACCCCGGGGGATTGTTTCACTCCTTTTGTCTCTTTACTGGCCGCTTTTCTGGCGAAAAGACAAAAACGCAGCATGGGAGGCCCCACACTCAGGTAGCAGGTCTGGGATTACCAGCCCGCCTCTCATTCGCACACACATTCATCCCCCCATACCTGACCCCCCGGAAAGTACTTACCAATCCATTTTCCTTCCCGGGTTCTTCATGTGCACTACTACTCTTAGGGGGCCAATTACCGCGGTTTTAGGGAGCCTTTTTCCCTTTACTTTGTTTTATTGCCTCCTTTTGTTCACCAATCTTAACCTGTGTCTGTAAGTCACACTCGGTGAAACAGAGCAAGGCTGCCAAATCGGGCAGGGCGTGCCTTCCTCACTCTGACTCTCCCAAAGCACTGGCAGCAAGGTGTTAGTAACCATCCTCTGCTACCGTAATTGTGAAAAACACCAATCACTTGCTTTTAGAATAGCAAAAGTTTAATAGTAATAAAATGGTTATAAAAATAGTAATATAATTAGAGTAATAAAAATCTGGACAATTAGGATTTAGGACAATACGAGACAATAAGAACAAAGAGTTACGGATGGTCCGGGTCCCTTTTTCTGGGCAAAATAAGCCCGAAAAAGGACACACATTAACAGAGGATTAACCCTTAAAAGCAATAGCCCATTACATATTCATACACCTCATACATGATGCATAAATTCCATTCAAACAAAGGATTCTGTCTGGCGAGTGTCAACTTCTTCCTCTTAATCCTGATGGCGCCTTCAGGGCTGGTCGAGACAGGAAGAACTCGATAGGAGAGCAATAAATTATTTTTCTCTGAAAGATTTAGGTGTCCTGTGGCTGCTATCTCAGTGCGAGTCCTCTCTTATAAAAAGTATCTTACATAGCATAATTTCTATTTTAACATTGTGTTATAACCTAAAACTATATTTAACACACTACTTATGAAAATTAATACAGCATAACTTTCTAACATAACACATACAATATTCATTTTAATATTTGCGAAAAGCCAATCATATAATATGCATTTTTCACATTGTTGCATGGAGATACCTGTTCTGTGACATCCCAGCCCTGGATAGTGGGTCAGAGATTGGGAGTTCGGAGGGTGGAGATGGCGCCGACACCCCGGGGGGAAGATCGCCAGACCGGGCGGCTGCCAGTTTTTCTCCGGCTTCGCGCGGTCCGGCAAGAGGCGTGGGGACTCCCCATGGAACCTATCTCTCGTCTAGAGATTATGTTTGGCCGACAAGTCCTGGTCCCTACATCTCTGGGAGGTGGCCGTCTCCTCTTTCTGCCACAACAGTGCCGCCAAGAGCGATAGCTGCGCTCGGCCATGCCCAGGAGACGGCGCTTCCCTGCTTGCGCTGCTTTAGGCCCCTCCTTCGCCGCGGGCAGCGCCACAACTATCACCACCGCGGCTGACAGGTCGGTTCTCCCCTTTCCTGCGAAGAGTTCCTGGCGGTCCACTGCGGCAGTCAGCCCTGCCTTAGCACCCCCTGCACGCTGGGGACCGACTCTTTCATGGCCGGCAGGAGCTGCAGTTCCTGGCTCAAGATCCCCATCCCCACATCGAGGGTGAGGGAGGAGTCAGCTCCACCCTCGGCAGTCGCCACGACAACACTGATCGCTCCATCAGCTTCCTTGTTGACATCCACAAAGCCTGTGCAGCTGTACCGGCCACGCCCATCGTCAATGCCCTCTGGCGGGTGTCTGTTCCAGCCGACGTCACACCCCTGGCTGGCTTCCCCCTCCTTTTCCATGGCACCTGTGTGGACGACAGCAACCGTGACCGATGCATCAGCTCCATTTCTCCGAACGGTAAATCACACAGCAGGAGCTGTGTCTCCTTTTGCTCCCCCATCTTTGGTTGCGGAGCAACAGCCTCCTCCCGGCGTGGCGGCTGACTTGGTTGACTTAATGTCTTTTACACCTTCGCCATTGCAGCCCGCGGTGGTGGCGGTAGTGTCACCGGCCGCGGCCGCCCTGCCCGCCACCATGCCTCCAGCCGCGCGATCTGTGGCTGGGCCCCCGGCTGCGGCATGGCTGGCGGCTGGCCCCTGTTCATTTGGGCTTGCAACCGGCCCTTCGGCTTCGTGGTCCGCAGTCAGTCATTCGACTTCAGAGCCTTTGGCCAACCCACCATTCCCTGCTGCCCGCAGGCTGTCGTCCCCATCCCTGGATGGGGACAGTGACAGCGATGAATACCAGCGGCCAGCCCCCCGGCGGGGGCGTGCCTTGGTGGTGGAACGCCGGCAGAGACAGGCGGAATCATTGTCTTGTCGGGTGACCGTGGGCCCCAAGAACCCTTGCAGCTTTTGGGATGCAGTTAAGATACGAGCTTCAGAAGCTGGGGATAGGGTCCTGTTGGACAGGATGGAAAGGCTGTGGTGTACAGCTGACACCACACTTGCTCCGGGGGAAGGGGCCACAGATGTCAGTCAGACAGCTTATCCAGCATCTGTGGGGGAGACACAGGTGGTTAAGGAGGACCATGTTCTGCCACGAGGCGAGGTGCAAGATTTTCCCGCATATAAACCTGTCCCAAATTCAGGACATGCCAACAGGCATGATGTGATTGCCTGGTGAGTGATCCAGGATTTACAAGAGAAGGTTGCAAAATATGGCCTTGGCTCCGTGCAAGTTATGCAGGCTCTCTGAATGATAAACTCGGACCTGCTTGCTCCATTTGATATTAAACATATTGCTCAGGCACTGTTCCAGCCTGTGCAATATGAGGTTTTTTTGGACAGCTGGAGGCAGGCTGCTGAAAAGGTTACAGCAAGCAACAGGCTTCTGCCTCAGGAAGACCCTAGGTATGGTGTGGGGGTGGACGCTCTCCTCGGAGAGCAGGCCTTTTCCAATCCTGATTTTCAGGCTACCTGGGACTCTGCCGTTCTTGAGCAGTGTCATAAGGGTAGGATTTAATGCACTGTTGAAAACTATTGAGACAGCCTCTCCCAGGCCACAGTTTACAACGATAATTCAAGGAGCTGGTGAGCCTTTTTTGCCAGTTGCTGAGAAGCTTGCATCTGCCCTGGAGAAACAGGTTGAGGATGATACCTTAAGGTGGATTTTATGCAAGCAGTTAGCTCGAGTCAACTCAAACGGGGAGTGCCGGAAGATCATAGATGCTCTTCCAGGTGACCCGATGCTAGCAGACATGGTCAATGCATGTGCCAAGACAGGTTCTGTAGACCACAGGGTTTCTGCTCTGGCAGTTGCTTTACAGCCAGGCCAGATACCCTTAGGGGGCGGACAAGAGAAGAAGAGCAAAAATAAGGGCAAGAGAAAGCAAGGAACACCCAAACCAACAGGGCCGAGTGCCACCTTCTTGTGCTCTAAATGCCTATGGGAAGTGAGATGAGGGACTACATTTTGTTCATCACGAAAAAGAGACCAGTGTGTTACAAGAGTTGTCTGCTGACTATTTCTGTACTACTTCATGAGATATGAGCCACAAGGATACCAGGGAAGGGGTTGCAGGAGCCCACACATAGTCCCACCCAGCAAATGGTACAAACAGATAACTCACAGAAATAACGACCAGGGAAAGGCTGGGGAAAGGGCAGGGGCAGATTAACACCCAGCAGGGAAACCTTTCCCGCTGACAAATGGTACAAGCAGATAACTCACAGAGATAACGACCAGGGAAAAGCTGGGGAAGGGGCAGGGGCAGATAAACAGTCTGCAAGGCAGGATATTTGCTTGCTTAAGCTTGATAGGGCACAGTTTGCAAGGCAGGACATTTGCTTGCTTAAGCTTGATAGGGCACATATTGCGTTAATCATAAGATTTTGGTAATTTTCCACGGAGAAGTCACCAAATAAGGACATAGGGTGAAGAAGACGCAGCTGAGGAAGACTCCGCAGCCTTTTATCACCGAACACCAGGAGACAGAAGGATGACCCCCTAGCAACAACCAGCGCAGGCGCAGAGAACTCCGAGATAACATGGACTCCTGAAGGATGGAGAGGATAAAAGGACTGAATCAGAAACTAGTTGGTGCGGCAGTAGGTGGAGCGGAGACTCCCCTGTCGCCCAGCGCTGAGCCTTTGCTTATGTAGTATAACTGCTTCAATAATTAATAAATTCTTTGATTGGAAATTACTCGTTTTGAGTCAATTTTATAACAGGAAGGTCATTGTTCAGACCAATGTAGGGCTAAATTTCATGCCAATGGCCAGCCTTTGGTAGGCCCGGGAAACATAACGATGAGCGCACAGGGGAATTGAGCCCTGACACAAGTGATTCCTCAGAGCATGGCGCCGGGTCACATCTGCCCAGCCAGCTCGGAGGCATCACCCACAGCTCCACCAGCATGGATGTATGTACCACCAATGCAGTCATCTTAGAATCCTGTCATGAACATAAGGTTCCTTTGGACGTGTTCGGAACTTTGGGACAAGGACTGGGCACGCTGCTTGTGGGAAAATCTAATGTCACCAACCAAGGAATCTTTGTTCACCCAGGAGTCATTGACTCTGACTTTTCAGGTCAGATTTGTGCCACGATTTCCATGCCCTCCCCCCCCGTCACTATTCCGGCAGGGACTCGGATTGCTCAACTTGTGCTTTTTTAGTCATGTGTCTCCAGGACTGACCAGCAGACTCGTGGGAGTGGTGGCTTCGGATCCACGGGACTGCCACAAGCCCTCTGGTCTGCACACATTTCTGCTCAGCGACCCCAGATGTCGTGTACCCTGACCCTACTGGGTGCCTGCCCATCAATGATCTAGTTTCGAGTTTTGATTGACAGAGGGGCGGATATGACAGTGATCTCCCTCTCTGCATGGCCTCCTACATGGCCTTTGGCCCCCGTGGGGTCACCCATCATAGGGATGGGGGGTGCGTCATGTAACTTGGTGAGCCAACACTTTGTGCTGATCAGTAACGCAAATGGGCAGACAGCTGAAGTTCGGCCCTATGTCATTCCATCTCCAATCAATTTCTGGGGGCAGGATGTATTGGCTGCCTGGGGAGTGCGAATTGGGACGGATTTTTATTGAGGTCACTGCATTGAAGGGCGAAAGATATCCTATGCTGCCTTTATGGTGGCTGGTGGACAAACCCATTTGGGTTCATCAGTGGCCCCTGACAGAAGAAATTCATCGCCCTTCATCAACAGGGACATTAAGCCTTCTACTAGTCCCTGGAATACTCCCGTCTTTGTGATAAAGTCTGGGAAATGGAGGTTGTTACAGGACCTCCGGAAAATTAATGCGGTGATGAAAAGCATGGGGGCATTGCAGCCTGGTATGCCCTCACCTACCATGATCCTTGCGGGATGGGAGATCTTGATCATTGATTTGAAGGATTGCTTTTCACAATTCCTTTGCATCCTGGTGACAAGGTGACAAACCAAAGTTTGCCTTCATGGTGCCTTCAATGTGCAAACCAAAAAAAAAAAAAAAAGGGGGGGGGGGGATGCCTGGAGAAACCCAATCAACCATCTTACAGTGCCACTGAATTCAGAGAATAGAGAATCCTGTCATTCTAAATCATTTTCTCTCGTTGCATTCTTCAGGTGAGACACACCTGCCTCGAGCGAAACTCGGGATACGGGACCTAGCCCCTAATAAGTGGGAGGGCCTGTGCGACCTTATCGTTTGGGACCATGGGTATGCATGCGTTTCCACAGATATTGGAGTACGATGCGTACCTGTGACGTGTGTCCGCACTGACTTGTGACACCAAAAACAGAATGTGGCCAACAGGCAACCTCTGAATGATGATCAAGATGACAACCATCAATCAAATGGCCCCTCCATGACTGGGGAGTGAACATTCCATCCTTTCTTTGCTTCTGAAAAAGGACTGTTGACAGGCTAAGACTGTCAGTTCTTTGAACAAATTAATGATAAGTTGTTATTATATTATTAGACTTAGTATTGAGATTGTATTAGAATAAGTAAATGATTTTAAGATTGATAGTGCATTTCTTGTAAGATGGAATCACAAGATCTGATCTCTCTGACCATTTTAAATCGGCATCCGATTGAGGTTCTGATTGAAAACTAGCAACTGCTAGAGGAACCTCTGGAGCTGTGTTTGTTCTCCTTCCTGCAAGGGGCCCCACAGAGGATTACAAACATCACCTCCTCCTTTAAAAAAAAAGGGGGACCTGTGGATGAGACAGCCCGGTCAGAGAGCGAGAAAACCAGATAAGTTTTCTCACGGCAGACTTGTGAGACTTTCAGGGAGTTGTAGAGAAATGATGATAGCTTGTTATTATAAACAATCTGCAGGTGGTATTTTCCTACTCTCTGTTTTCCTGTTTTTCTCAAGGATTGTTTATAAGAAAGATGTTTTTGTTAATTAGCCAATCAGGTGAAATGTATTGGAATAGTCTATAAAAAGAGAGGTTTTCGTATTAAAGCTACTGCTGTGCAAACCAGCCTTCTTGGAGTCTGTGTTGTTTCTGACTCAATAGCAACATATAGCTTATTTAGCAAGTTTGCAAAAGTACAGAAAGCTTGTAACAGGAATGTAACTTGTTTGGTAGAAACAACTTAGAACACATAAGAATTTAGTTGCTAGGCAAAGGCCATAAAGATAAGATATATATTGTGAGAACTCAGTAAAGCATGACTCAAGTATTGTGGAAACCCGATAAAGCAGAACCTTTTGCTTAAGGAGCTAGCAAGAACCTGGCTCCTGGTCTTGGCCAGGACAAACTGACCTGGGAGTTAGTCAAACCTCCACCGCGCCTGCCCAGAGATGAGGTCAAGCAGCAAACACCTGAGAAAGACCTCTTACTTCATCAAGAAGACCCCTGCCTATGACCCCCAGGGGACGTGGCACCCCAGAAGACTAATTGTATTATGAAGCGCAAGGAGGTGGAGAGTGAGCGAGGGAATTGGCGGGTAGGGAAGTGTGGGGTTGGGGGATCAATGTGTATTTAAACCTGAAACCTGTCTCGACCAGTTACGTATGTATGGTGGAAATATCCCTCATGCGTTCCAGCTGGAATAAAACATACCTGCTTTACAATTTTAATTGTAAAGTCCTCATTCACCAACTCAATAGTTATTTATAACAGTTTCAAAAGATACTTGTATTCTATCAAGGCATTATACAGTTGATTTCCAAGATGCGCTGAAAAATAAGTTGTTAACAAGCCCTGAGTCAGAAGTTGCTGCAGGGTGAGAGGGTTACCATTTTTATCAAATCTTGATCCATAGGTTTTACTCCAGTGTTACGGGGAGGAGGGGAGGGGCAGCAGGGTGGTAAGAGGTTCTTCCATTTTCTGTAACTCAGTTTCATTATTACTTTGAAAAAACATGGCGGGTTGATATATGAAAATGTGGATGTCCCTCCCCCGGGCTTTCCCGCACTGCGCAGGCACCCCAGTCTTTACGCTGGGCCCGCCCATCCCTCTGCCACTTTTCACAACTGTATGATACACACTGAGAACAAAGGGGCTGGCACAGCGGGGTTGCTCCGGCGCGGCTGCCACCGGATGGCTTGGGCTCAGCAGGTGCCGGTGCTATCTGGTTCCGGTGCGCTGTCAGACCTGCCACTGCTGTGTTTCCCACACTGCCCACAGCAAGAAGCCCACAGCACCCCGCAGCACCCAACCCACCGCCACTGTGCACAGCCCCGGTACCATGGGCCATAGAGCCGCCTGCGCCGGGACAAGCTGCTGTTTCTGGCACCCTGCCAATGCCTCAGGAGGCCGCTGCAGCCTCTGGGGAAGGAAGCGGGGGGGAGGGGAGTGAAAAGCCTCAGTGCTGCTGAAGCAACCCCGACGCAATGAAACTGCAAAGATGGTGTTAAGAGTAACAGGAACTAACGGCAGTACATCCTTCTCCGGTCCAGGGTTGAACTGGTAGGGATCAAACAGCACTGTAGGGGATGGGCTGACGTCGATGTGAAAAATGTCAATTTTATGATTGGCTTTTCTCAAATATTAAAATGAATATTATATGTGCTATGTTAGAAAGTTATGCTGTATTATTTTTTTTAAGTAGTGTGTTAAATATAGTTTTAGGTTATAACATAATGTTAAAATCGAAACTATCTGAGATATTTTTTAAGAAAGGAATGAGGTACTCGCACCAGATAGCAGCCATAGAACACCTAAATCTTACAGAGAAAGAGAATTTATTGCTTCATTATCAGAAGAAACTAAATCTTCCCGCCTCACTCAGTCCTGAAGATGCTGTTAGGATTAAGAGGAAGAAGCTGACACTGACCAGACAGAATCCTTGGTTTGAATGGAATTTATGCATCATGTATTAGGTGTATGAATATGCAACAAGCTATTGTTTTTAAGGGTTAATCCTCTGTTAACGTGTGTCCTTTTTCGGGCTTATTTTGCCCAGGAAGAGGTACCCGGACTGTCCGTAACTCTTGGTTTTTATTGTTTAATATTGTCCTAATCCAAATTGTCCAAATTATTATTACTTTAATTATATTACTATTTTTTATAACCATTTTATTATTATTAAACTTTTAAAATTTTAAAAACACATGATTGGCGTTTTTCACATCGGAATAGTCTGGTATGTTGGAAGTGGGTGCAAGCGGACTTGAGGGTTCAGGGCAATCAGTTTCTGAAGTCGCAAAATGGCGGATCTCCAGGCGACTCTCTTTAAGAGCCACCATATTACGTATTAGCTCCCCACGTGGCAAGATGCCTTCAAGTATCAGCATCGCCATCCCTGGCAATATTAAAAAGTTTCTAACCCATTGCCTGCCAGGCTTCCAATTGAAAAGTCCTAGTAGAAGGGAAATTCTTTACATGCGTGTACACCTAGTCCAGCAAGTCACTTAGCATCGGACATATCTGTACTTTGCCGATGCAGGAGCTGCCGTAACAGGTCTAGGCTCCATCTTTGTTCTAGGGATATTTTTCCTCCCATAATTCTTCCACTGCTCACCTGATAGGTGATAGGCGTGCACTTGGGTTCCTTTGCTAAACTTCTCCTGGTTGACCCCAATCCTGGTTCAGAGGAAGTCGCTAATGGTGCGGTCCAATTCTTTCACCGCCTGTGATAAGTCCCGATTTGGGTGCCAATTATAGCAATGGGGAACGAAGACACATCGACCTCCTTGCTTGTCCCGAAGAAGATTATTGTAATAAAGTGAACCCTTTTGTGTTCTAAA